TCCGGAACAAAACACACTCAACATCGACACCAGATTCCGATTTTGTCTTCCTACTAAGCCACTCGTTTTGGGATTCTTCGTCTTAAAATGCTCAATTTGATTGTCACTTTGAGCTCCATAGTAAGTTTTCCCACGGAAGCAGTTCCATTGTAGTGTCATTGGACATCCATGTCTTGCTACCCATGTATTCATCAGATGATCGCAAGTCTCTTCGGCTGAGGCCGTTATGCAGGGCACGGCTTCTGCATAATTTGTAAAGTGATCTATTATCACTAAAACTTGATTGTAACTACTGTCTGCCATGCATACCTTCTGGGGATCAATCTGCACCACTTCATTAAAGTCGAAATACTCGATTCACTGTAATGGGAATTGCAATTTCCTACGATCTTTCATTTTTCACCTGTTGGCATGACAGACAAGCAGTCACCCACTTCTCGCATGCTTTCTTTATTCCAGACCATTCAAAGCGTTCCAATATCCCCTGGTATATTTGTTGATATCATGATGACCCATCTGATCATGTGACCTGAATTAAAGCTCCGTTTGATAGAATTGCGGCAACACTATCGCGTTATATTTGTACAGGACCTTGTCCGCTTCTCTCCTTTTGCAAGCAACGATCCCGTTCTTATTCAGATATAATCTTCCCTCCTTCTGCATAAAGTACTGTCTCAAGAAGATCAAGTAATCATCATTTTCCTGCTCTCCTTTGTCTGGCACCTCATTTTCAAACCACTTTTTTTTTTAGCTATTTGCCATACAGTCAATTCTCTGCGCTCCTAGTAAGTCCGAGAGTGCAGCTCGCCTTCAAGTATATCTTCATGACCATCAAGTGACTCTTCTTGAAGACTGGGAGAATAGTAAGTTTAATATTCTACTACAAGAAGCCAAACGATGTGACTTGCGATCAACACAGTTGCCATCACTTTGATTCAATTCAAAATCGCCAGCGTAACCTGGTGAATTTGTTTCGGCTGACGTCTGCAAATCGATATAAGCTCAATTTTTGTCGGCTGCCAACAGAATCAAAGAATTCTCGAATTCATCAAGGCACTCGACGAACAGTTTCAGTGGTCACGAACCGTTTCAGTGGTTTGCTTCAGTGGGACTTGTGAGTGCAGATGTTCAGACTCGTGAGAGAAATTTCCGGTGCCAAAAATCTCCAAAATCGTCAAAAACTGTATGACTAGTCTAATTTTTATAAATCATTCTTTGCAATAAAACTACCTACGATGTGTTATTGTAATACTCGATCCGAAGCAAGCTGCAGGTGGTAATTTTTCTCTCGACACCACAAATTTTTGGCATAATTGTGAACGCACTGAAAACTCAGAAAATCGGTGTTTAGACAAGGTTATTAGATCAAATTTTTGGATACATTTTTGAGTCGAACCCCCGAACCGTAAATTGTGAAAAATAGTTTCGCTAATTAAAAATTTGAGGTCGTAGAAACCACTCTAAAAAATTCTTGTTTTTCTTGATTTTCAATTTTACTAAAATTCTTAATTGGCTTAAAATTCCCAAATTCTATCTTTTATCCATTTCTAACATGTGTTAAGTGGTCTGGGCAGGCAGTATCAGGCCAGTTAAGTTTACTTTTTTCATCCTCAGGTTTCTTCCGTTTGGTTAAAATTCAACCAAGTTGCCTGATTATCCACCTCGTTGGCTAACTAAAACTTAAATTGCTTCCTGACACGCATCTGTTTTCCCACCCAAGCATCATCGACTCTGTTTTGTCTTAGTAATATTAAGTGGTCAGGTACGGTGGTAATAAGTAGGTTAAGTTGAATTTGTTCAACCTCAGGTTTTGGAGTTCAACCGACCTACTTAATTCCCATCCCCATTGGTAATTACCACCGCGAATAAGAGCCCTTAGCGTAAAGTGTTCATACTCGGATCACGCGCCTCGTAAACTATCGGCAAAGTCTCACAAGGTGCGAAAAGGACTTTTTTCACCAAGCCGGGTTTAGGCTTCAGCTTCAACGCCAGGGTATCGCAGAAAATTATCCCACTTTATCTGCATCATTTTTTGTCGAACCGCAAAGATTTAGTTATTTTGCACGAATTAGAAGGCACGGCAGTAACAACAACCGTAGTTGAGTACTGGCCAACTTAGGAGCCTTCTTCTGAGATACAGGGAGAATAAAACCGATTTTGTACAATGTCTCCGCAATTGTACTGAGAAAATCGAAAGAGTGTTGAAAAATACAGGTTTGTTCATTTTTAATGAAATTGAGGATTTCATCTTAAAGCGACAGGCCAAAGACCAAATACTTATTAAAAAGTAAAAGTGGTTACGTACACGATCCCACTTCCCTTCAATTGAAGATTACGAATTACAAAGAAGCAGATATATCAACACAATTGTTGCGAATTCAGAAAATACAAAATTTTATTTGAAACATCATCTGAAGAGTTAGATAAAAACCTTTTTTTTTGGATTTATAAGCGAAAAAAATGATTTGAGTTTGATCAAGTACTACTTAATCCCTCATTTGATTTGAGAAAAAAAAACTAGAATTATCAGTCATCAACAAAGCAAATGACTTCATATCTTTCAAGTTTGGAGATGTACAATTTCTCGACATAATGAAAATTCTGGGTGGGATCAACTACTCTGGACTCCTTTCCCAATGCCTAGAAAGCTAGCGATACGAAAGCATTTTTTCTTCCCTATGCTTGATTTGATAACCACGACAAGCTTGATTTTCACGAATTGCCACCGTATGAAGCTTTTTTTCTCTAAACTTAGAAAAAATAATCCTCTAGATAAAGACTTCCTTGATTATGATAAACTGAGAAAGAGTATGCTCGACGAACAACAAGCACTGAAAAAACTTCAAGTCAAGACTGTGCCTCAATCTGGTTGGGATAGCTACAATTACTTACGGGAGACTTGAAAGAAAAACGGAGAGACTGTGTTCAAAGACTTTTTGCAGTGGTACAATAACAATGATGTCGTTCCAACACTGGAAACAAGGCATAAAAGATTCATTTTTAACATAGATATGTTAAAGTTTGGATGTATGCTTCCGAATCTAGCAAACACATGACCACACAAATCAACAAATCGCATGTTTTATCAATTTTGCGAAAGTGATAACTACATGTATTTGTGTGAAAAAATTAGAGAAACGATGGCTGGTGGACCTTCCATTGTTTTCACTCGAAAAGCTGTAGTTGGTGAGACATTCATCAGAAACTCATCAAAAAATTGTAAATCGATCGTTGGAATTGATTCAAACCAGTTTTACAATGTGTCTCTATGTCAGTATTCTCATTGTGTCAGTATTCTCAATGTGTCAAGATATGCCAACAGGACTGAACACGAGATGGGAGTTTGGCACTGATATGCAGATATTCATGGCTAGACATAACCGAACTCGCAAGTTTGAAAACAAGGTCATGTGTTTTTTAACCAGGAAACATGACCAGAATGCAAATTTCAGAGTTTTGTTTACATCTAGTAAACATGATAAAATCGACTGTTTTATTGTGAACGGTTATTTTGATCACTCTAGAACAGTGTTCGAAGCAATGGCGTATTCTTATTCTAACACTTCTGTTCTTGTTAAGAGGCTTGTCCCTCCTGAACAGAACAGAATATTGATGGAGGAAACAAGAAGAGAGAGATGGAAGATATGGGACGGGAAAATACAAAAGAGAAACGATACAAAGTTGAAGAAATCTGGAAATGTGAGTAGTGAGAAAGTTTCAAAACCAATGACAAGATCAAAATTCTTGCCAGAAATTTTTTGCCCTACAAGAAACCTAATTCTAAGGACTTCCATCTAGCACAAATAAAAGAGGGATATCTTTTTGGCTACGTTCAGTGCGACTTAGTTGTTCCAGTTGAACTGAAATCAAAATTTGCAAACATTTCTCCAATTTTGAAAAATACTGAGGGTGGAAGAAACGATATTGGAGATTACATGAAGATTCATGCAATCAAGAACGGAATGTTAAAACAGGAATGCTGATATCTAGTTTCAAGCTAGAAAGGGGAACAGTTATCACTCCTCTGTTCAACTTTTATATGGAACTTGGATTGCAGTGCAACAAAATTCACCGATTTGTTCAATATTCTCCTCGGAAGTGTTTCGATAACTTCGTTCAATCAGTGGTTGATGCGAGAAGAGTAGGAGATGAAAACCCTCTATCAGGAGTTGTAGCAGAAACACTGAAACTTTTGGGTAAAACCTCTTATGGATATCTGATCATGGATAGATCCATTCATTCAATTACGAAGTATCTGAACGTTAAAAAAACTCATACGGCAATCAATAAACAAAAATTTAAAAGACTGAACACAGTTGAAAAAGACTTATTGGAGGTCGAATTGCTGAAATCAACCATTGAACACAGAGAACACATCACTGTTGGATTTTTCATACTGTAGTGTGCAAAACTTAGAATGTTGGAGCAATACTATAACTTCTTTGACGAATTATGTGATGTAAGCAAGTTTGAAGAGTTAGAGATGGGCACAGACTCACTTTACTTGGCGTTTGCGGAAGAAAACTTATATGAATGTATCCAATCAGAAAAAAGAGACAAAAAGAGGAAAAATGAGGGAAAAGGACTGCAGAGACTTTTTCAAAGCAGATGCAAAGTCTAATTTCTTCCCTCTAGCTTGTTGCAGTAACCATAAAACGTATAATAAACGGGAGCCGGGACTTTTTAAAGAGTAATTCAGGTGCAGAGAATTGCTTTGTTTATGTAGCAGAACTTATTACTGCTATGACAACAAGTCAGACAAGTTCATATTCAGTAGTAAACGTAGCCCCATGGCAAAAAAAACAGGAGAGTTCTCGATGAAGCAGTTAACCTTCCATCTGCTAACAGAGGATTCAGAACTATAAATCATATGGCTTTTACATATGTACAGACAAAGAAAAGACTTAGTTAACTTGATTCAAAAAGACAAGTTAAAGATGATGGAATTCCTTCAAAACCGTTGAGATTATAAGAACTGATACTAAATTTGCAAGTGATGCAACTTATTAAACCATTGAACGAATTAGTACTTTCTTGGTGTTTTTTATAAAGTTGCGGTGAAAATCAAATAAGACGCAGTGATTTATTTATATATTTTTTGTAATTTAATTTTTTTCTCAAATTTTTTTTTTGAAGTTTCAGTAAGTTTCAGCATAGTTTCAGGTAGATGGTACACTGTTTAAAAAAAAGACTATCTAAAAATATAGTTATTAGGTCAAACTATAACAAAGCTAATCGAGTTTTAAAGTTTTTCGAAAAAAACTCTTCATAAAAATTCCAAGTTTTTGCCTAAAAACTCTTACCACTAACTTACCATGAATTAGAAAACTAAATAAAATACTTTCATTTCCTAATCTACACGTAATTTACCAGCGTTATCCACCAATTAGATATCGCGCGCCTTGAGTTTTGCAAAAAAACTAGACATTTTCACAAAAAGTCCAAAGAACATTCGTTTTTCTTACCATTCTAACATTCTCTTACCATCACATAAACCACGAATTCTTACCGTTTATATTCCCTATCCTAATACAATGTAGACTCTATCCCCAACGTTAAGTTATAGCTGGAAGACCTGATGCTCTGTTCCCTAACTTATAACATGGGGGTCTTCGAGGACCCCCCACTTTAGCCTCAACTTGTACTACTTTTCGATATGACATTTTAGAGCGGGTATCTGTTTGATGGGGCTCTGGTTATACAGTCTTTTTGAGAAATTTTTGAGCTGATGAAAAAATTTTAAGCTGCTATCTCTAATGATGAAAAGTTTTTGAGCTGGTATCTTTGCTGTCATGCTTTATTACTGTCTCAAGGGTGTTTTATGCGTGATAGCTTTCTGCAAAATTTCACCCGTACTTTGTGTCAACTTATGAAGCCACATGCCCAAAGTCAGTATCAATTCGTCGGAGTTGGCACTTTTAGCAACCATATCAGTCAACTCATTTTTTACATCGACCGCTCGTTCTATATAAATCCTACATTTTTCAGTATTTGTATCACTTTTTGAGCAACGACTCTGACTCTCTATGTATTACAAAATAGTTTCTCGGCGTTTATAATGTTCGTTCTCGAGATTGCTACGTTTGTCGAACAGCTTCTTCTTTTCTTCTGAAGTTTAATTTTTATGCTAAATAAATTTTAACGCATTGAGTCAGTTTGGATTGCTCAACAATTTTTTGTTTTCGTACTCAAGTTCGTTTTCGTACAAGTTTATTACTTGAATAATTTTTACCACGTTCGTTTGGCTGATCAAAGATCTTTTTGAATCGTTCATTGACATCTACTTCAATATCTTGAATTTTCGTTGACATCTCTAGCTTTTTCTCCAGCTAACATTTCGAGGTTGCTTACAAAATCAATTATCAAATTCTGTGAATCCTTGTTGTACAAAAAGATGGGTCCATCAATCAAGTTTGATGATATACAGACTAAAATTGGGACATGTTTTTCAATCCAGATTGTATTTTAGTTCCTCTGTAGGAACACAAATCGACGCGAAATTGCAAATTGCCAGATCATTGATTGTTATCTTCAGAAACTGGAAGATTGAATCCTTCTAGCTTTTCAAACAAGGTTTCTTGGAGCTCATACACTTTCTTTGGTTAAAAATATCTCACTCGATCCTTGCATCTCAGGAGATGCTGATTCAAAAGGACTGATTTGTGTAAAAAGGTGTCACAGCTAGGGCATTGAAAGCACTTGCAGAAAATATTGATTTTATTTTACAGTAGTTTAACTGTTTTATCAAATTTTCCATTTTTTTCTTCTACGCATTCACCTTCTTGGATATCGAAATCGTATGTAAAGATGTTTTTTTTTGCACAACAATTTCTGCGACAGCAGGTAAGTCTTCTACAGAAAATTCGACACAAAAAAATTTTTTACGATCATAACCAGACCCTGATTCAAATTCAGTTAAATATCTAGAAGTGTGAGAGTCGAGATCATTGTGCCCGTACATGGCCAATGCGCGGAAAAGACACAAAGAGTCTTTGTAAGGTTCCTTGTCTTTGTTAGATAAAAGACAGTTTGCTTGCTTATGTCGTAATAAAGGTTCGGGTAAGACAGAGTCTAGACCCCATTGGAATGTTTTTGAGCAAAGCAGCAAAAATTGAGACGTTAGTAATCAAGTTGAAGCGCTATTTTGTGTTTTGACGTTCTTGGGTACATTGCTCAACAATATCAATTTTTTTTAATTTTTCGTTGTACTGTTATCAAATCCGCTTTCGTACGAACTAAGTGGGAAATTTCAAATAAAGTATTTTTTCATGGGCGTAGAAATATCGATCTTCACCAGTGTCAATATTTTGAAGAAGAAACTTCAAGGCAAGGCTGATCTTTGCGGCAGGATCGAGCTTGTTGAAGACTTTTTCAAGTTTCTCGTTGATTATTTTAGTGTTGAATACCTAAGTTAAATACTGTATGTGTCTCCTATTTTCAATCTCCGCATCCACCAGAAAATGTTGACAAGCACTAAATTCCTCTTTCACTTTTTCATCATCTTCCCCTTCTTCCCGCAAAATTATGTTCAAGTCCGCTACAGTAACACTGGGTTTCCATTGTTTTGCTTCATGTTCCTTTCTCCGACGTTGATGGAGAGAGTAGTAACTTGGGAACTCTTGTTCGCAAAAAGGACAAACACTCGACTGCTTCAAACTTGGTTGAGCCTGCTTCTTGGCCATATGAAAAGTCTTCACCACCAACACAATTTTGCTTTTATCCTAATGATGTCATCGCCTACGCAATTTTCTAATTATGGAGAAATTTCTAGAAATCAGAACCTACGCAATTTTCAAAATATGGAGAAATTTCTGCAGTTTTCTATTTTAGAAAACAAACCAATCAGACATAACAATAGTCTTTATATACCAATCAGACATAAGAATAGACTATTTAAAAATAGTCTTTTTTTTACAAAACGTCAATCGAAAATAATTGAATTTCCTTAAGTTACTCTACAAGAAATGAAAAATATTCCTTGTGAGTTCCTTATTGTTGAAAAAGATGGAGATTTTTTTTCACAGTTTTTTGAGCGTTTATGTTGTCCAAAATAGAGTTCTCCGACTAAGCAAAGACCTATTCAGGAAAACTTACTCAATCAAAGAGTTTACTTTTGAACCGAGTATTGGGTATCAAAGGTATAAAACTACTGCACCTGGTAAACCTACACCTGACTAGAAAAGAAATTTTTATTTTTCTTAAAGAAAGTTTTAATTTAATTAAAAAATTCCTACGAAATCAGATCGAAGACACTTTTTATTCCTTATTCGATACCCAAAATTGTCAAAACTCCCCCCTGCAAGGCTCTTTGTTTCTTCATTTCTTCAAAGATTTTCAAAATTCAAAATCTTGCATGATCAGTTTTGGAATAAGCTTTCTAGAGATTTGTGGTGAAAAATTCATCAATTCCGATATGTTCTATATCAAAATCAAAAAAATTAACTATCCAATCAAAATTTAGCAATTTCTCATTGATTACATACAAAAAATTCAACTAGCTTAAAGACAAGGTTTGCCGAGATGCTTATTCTTCCAATTTTCTCTCTTTTGTCACTTATATTGGCAATATTTCTTAATTTTACAGCAAACAACTTTTGGTCATTCTTTTTTGTGATTGCTTTTGTGTACACTTTTACCTATTTGAAAGATTTAGGTCCTCAAAAAGTGATGTTTTTGATAGGATACAACAAACTAAAACAAATGAACAATTTTCGTGGTTGGAAACGACAATATGTAAAAATATCTCAAATGGAACTTTGTTTCCTGTTGAACAGGATTTTTATTTGAGAATCCCATAAAAGGAAGCTGAAATCTGATTGGACACGTCCAACTAAGGAAAACCAATTATGATTGGTTAAACCAACACATTCGAGTTGAAGATACCCCTCTCTCTTAACTAAAAACATTTTACTTTCCACTTAACTACCGTCAACTAACTCCTCTCTCAACTCTAAGTTATTTAATTTGAACTAAACGACCGTCGACTACCTTACTCTCATCTGTAAATCATTCTTGTTTTTAATCTGTATGTTTCACTCAACTTGTTGCTTAAAATGATCTTCCCAGAGCAAAACAGCAACCTTTTAAACTGTGTTTTTGCCTGATCTAGTACATATTCAAGTACAAGAAACAGTCTCTGGACTATTTTTTGGCTCGAATGGACATGCCAATCCAAGTCTGGAATATGTTGGAGTTGATGTGAAGTAATTTCAACGAACATCGTATGAGGCAAGTACCCATGACAGAAAACCAACTTGAAGAAATGCAATTGACGGAGGATGTGGCTGAGCACGTGGAAATTAACTGCCCCGAAACTCCTGACTCTACTAGGTTTGTGGCTCAACCAGTCGAAGATTTCCTCTTTCTTGGATAAAGGGATCTGTGGAGAACCAAATTAACATCGAAGAGGATGAGGGGTTATCTGAGACCAAAACTCCAGCCAGCGAACCACCAAGACAACCACCAGCGATGGAGGTAAGAAAAGTTTTGCGCTCCATTGAGAACTTGCCAAAATTTGAGAACTCAGCTGCTCGACAGCTCTTTGATTTGTGAAAATATTGAGTACAGTCTTGTGTTTTTTAAATTAATTTCTTTGTAATTTTTTTCTAAAGAGATAGGAACAAAGAGATAAAATAAGAGGTCATAGAAAAATTTGTTTAAAAAAACTTTGCAAACGCAAAGTCTTTTAAGACGTTTGTCTAAAAACATTGTTAAAAATCAAAACAATTTTGCCATTGGTAGATACTTTCACAAATTTTGTTTTGCAATTTTAAGTAAAAATATAAAAAATTTCAATATTTAAAAAGTTTTTCAAAGTTTACGCACACAAGATAAAAAATTATTACAATTTTGCACTTATGTTAACAACTTTACAATAATTTTTGCAAATCAGTTATCAAGTTCTGTGAAACTTTGTTGTACAAAAAGATGGGTTCATCAATCAGGTTTGATGATATAGAGACTGTAATGTGGACCATTTTACCAACCCAGATTTTAATTTATGGTTCTTTT